TAGAAATAAATTAATGAAAGATATACAAACACTCTACATTTAAAACTATAAAATCTCCTGAGAAAAAGTTTGGTAATTTTTGTTTATTTATTTTTTAAGAGTCAGAGTCTTGCTCTGTCACCCAGGCTGGCGTGCAGTGGCACCATCATAGCTCACTGTAGCCTCAAACTCCTTGGCTCAGGTGATCCTCTTGCTTCACCTTTGTGAGTAGCTAGGACTACAGTTATGCCACAATGCCCAGCTATTTAAAAATAAATAAATAAATTGTAGAGACAAGGTCTTGCTATGTTGCCTAGGCTGGTCTCAAACTCCTGGGCTCAGGTGATCCTTCTATCTTGACCTCCAAAGCATTTGAATCACAGACACAAGCCACTGCACCCAGCTAGAAAAAATTTTAAACATCTAAATACATGTATAAAAGTACTATGTTTATGCATCGGAAAGCTCAGTGTTATAAAACTCAGTATTGTCAATATTTGAAAGTCTAAATAAAAGTTTAGGGATACTATGTTTATGAGTTAGAAAATTTAACTGATTTATAAATTAATCCATTGATGTAATGCAACCAAATTTCTAACAGGCAAGATGATTAAAAAATTTATATGGGAACGCAAAAAAAAAAAACAAGAATAGCAAAAGCAGTACTGAAAAGATCAAATATTGGGTGACTCATGCTACCTAATATAAAGATTTACCATAAACTTCAAGAGGCAATACATACTTCTATTGGCCAAAGATATAGACATAGTTTTAGTCCATATATGAATACATATATTGCCAATTGATTTTTGACAAATGCAATAGCATAATTCAATAAAAGTCTTTTCCATATAGGCTTCTAAAACGGCTGAATATCCATGTGCAAAAGCAGAAAGAAAGAAAGAATCTTACTCCTACCTGTTGTCATATGCAAAATTTAATTCAAAATGAACCACAGACCAAAACATAAAGATAAAACAACACAAGTTCTAGAAGAAAACATAGGAGAAAATATTCATAAACCTTGGATAGGCAAAGATTTCTTAAAACACAATATGCAAGGATCATGAAGGCAAACAATAATAAATTTATCTACATAAAAATTAAAACTTTCTGCTCTTAAAAATATTAAGAAAATGAAAAGATCAGCCACAGACAGGGAGAAGATATTCACAATACAGATATGTGACAAAGGACTAGAATCTAGATTATAAAAATAAGCCTTCCAACTCGATAATAATAAGAGAAAATTTTTAACAAATAACATAAATAAATGGGCCAAAGATTTGAATAGGCGCTTAATAAAAGAAGATATATTAATGGCCATAGAGCAGAAAAAGAGCAAACATCTGTAATCATCAGGGAAATACAAATTAAAACCACAATTAAATCCCATTACACACCACTTAAATGACTAAAATTTAAATAGTGACAATAACAAGTGTTGGCAAAGACATGGGGCAATTCATATATTGATGCTTGGATTGCAAAATGGTGCAACCACTTTAGAAAAAAGATTGGTAGTTTCTTTTAAAGTTAATCATACACTTAATATATAATTCAGCAGTTTCAATACTAGGTATCAAAGAGAAATAAAAACACATTCACTTACATGAAAAAAATATTCATTTACATGAATATTTAAAGCAACTTTATTCACAACTACACCAAACTGGAAATAGCCCAAGTTCATCATGGGAAATAGCCCAAATGTTATCTACTGGTGAGTAGATAACTGAACAATGGTATATTCAAATAATGGAATACTAATCAGTAATAAAAAGCAACAGACCACTGATAGGTACAATATGGACAAATCTTAAACACTATCCTGAGTGAAAGAAGAAATGAAAGAGCACAACCAGGATGATTTAATTTACATAAAGTCCTTGATCACGTAAAACTAATTTATAATAACAGAAATCAGATAAATCTTTCCCTGAGGCAAGGAATATATGGGGGATCAACTAAAAGGGCCATCAGGGAAGTTTCTGGAGCAATGAAAATGTTATGTGTCATGATTGACGTGGTGGTCACACTTGTGTATACATTTCTCAAAAACTCATCAAAATGTACACTTAAAATGTAAGCACTGTATTATATATCAATTACAGTGGAAGAAATTTGGTTCAAAAAATAAAGATCATAAAAATAACCCCGTCTCTACTAAAAAATACAAAAAACTAGCCGGGCGAGGTGGCAGGCGCCTGTAGTCCCAGCTACTTGGGAGGCTGAGGCAGGAGAATGGCATAAACCCCGGAGGCGGAGCTTGCAGTGAGCTGAGATCCGGCCACTGCACTCCAGCCTGGGCGACAGAGCGAGACTCCGTCTCAAAAAAATATATAAATAAATAAAGAGGGACTGGGTGCAGTGGCTCATGCCTGTAATCCCAGCACTTTGGTAGGCAGAAGTGGGTGGATCACAAGGTCAGGAGATCGAGACCATCCTGGCTAACACGGTGAGACCTTGTCTCTACTAAAAATATAAATAATTAGCCAAGCATGGTGGTTGGCACCTATAATCCCAGCTACTTGGGAGACTGAGGCAAAAGAATTGCTCGAAGCCGGGAGGCGGAGGTTGCAGTGAGCTGAGATCACACCATTGCACTCCAGCCTGGACAACAGAGCAAGATTTCGTCTCAAAAAAATAAAAATAAAATAAAATAAAGAGGGACATACATACTATTTTATAGTTTACGAAGGGGTTTGATTGTTTGCTTGATATTGATCCTTACCACCACCTTGTGAAGTAGGCATGCATACAGGCTCCTATTGTGGAAAAGTCACAAAATCATGTGTTTTGTTCCTGAGCTACAGTGTCTCACTTGGCTCTGGAATTCATCCACACACCTTGGGGGAATAAGAACAAAAAAAAAAACAAAAAACAAAAAACAAAAAAAACCCCACTCCCTATGCACACAAATTATAAAGATGCTTTGAATGGTTCATTGCCTAGATATGGAGGAGGGTTGCCTATGGTAATAACGGTTGTACTGATTATTTTTTCTACTGCACTATCAGCCAGGCATTGCACCAAGATCTACTCATGTAATTCTCAAAACAGTCCTGGGAGGTAGGCATTATAATCTCCATATACAAATGAGAACATTGGGCCTCAGCAAATTTAAGAGACTTACCAAAGTTCACACAGGTAGCAAGTGGCAGAGCTGGGGATCTAGGTCTGATGGACTCGAAGTTCCAGCTCTTTCCATACCACCATATTGGCTCCATATTTCAGATAAATGGGACTATTTTTATTTGCACTGACTAAAGTTATTCCCCAGTAACTAAAGTTATTCAGGGGTGCTGGCTCAGAGTGGTCCTTTGGAGAAGATTGAGATAGAGTCAATAGAACTTCAGGTCTAGGACAATGTGGTCTGCACCCCAAAAATCACGTCGAGGCCAATGCCTCTCTTATCTGGTGGATGGACATTGAGTTCCAAAAGAAAGAGGGATGTCAGTCTGTGAAGGAACAAGGAGCCACATTTGGGCATCTGCGACAATGGGTGCGGATGGGGAGAAGTGGGGAAAGCTTCAGCATGGTGTGCAGGCAGCAGCCCCCTAAGTGAGATGATAGTTCTGGTAGGGGATCCGGAGCCACACAGTTCTTGATGCAAAGTATTGTAGGATGCAGATTTCATGTGGGGAAATCGTTCATGAAGACCCACTTCTCATTTAAAGATGAAAAATAAAAGGGACATCAGAGCGTAATGGATTATTAGGATTGATTTGGGGTTGAGTGCCAACTCTAACATTTGGTGAAAACAGGTTTGAAGCAGAGAATGCTGACGTAAAATCCTGGCTCCGTACTTACTAGCTGTGCAATCTTGGGCAAGTTACTGCCCCTCTCTAAGCTTCTCTCTTCTCAGTTGGCAGATGCAAATAATGATGCCTACTTGACAACACAGATGGAAGACCGACGTTTGCAAAGTGCCTTCCTCGGTGTCTAGTGCTAGGTTAATGTTTGACCCTCTCCTTTTGTGGGTAACCCATCAGGAACCTTAGGCTTCAACCTTGATTTGAATCCCTAAATTTTAGCTCTGCTGGCACTTACTTGTCTGAAATTGCAGCTGCCCCCAGGGAGTGGAGCCTGTTGGAAGCCAGTCCTCTTCCTGTTCCTTCCTGCTCATCCTGTCTCCCTAGGTCCTGGCATTCCAACTACTCCCAGGATTAATACTGTCTACCCCTTGCTTCTGGATCTCTGAGGTCTTCCCAGACTCTGTCACAGCTCTCCATCATCAACCTGCCCAGGGGGTCTGCCCTAACATTCCCTGCACAGGTTCTGATGACAAGGGTGGAAACAAGTTTCTGATCTGATAAAAACTCAGTCACAAAGGTTCCAGGCATTTCTGCTGAATCTCTGTATAACTGGGCTTAACAAAAGATAAACCTGATCATGTCATGTTCTTGATTAAAATCTGTCTCATATTTCCTCAAGATAAAGTTCAAAATCCTTAGCATGGCCTGCCATGTCCCACAGGACACAACACATGGCACTCTCTCTAACTTCCTCTCTCACTACCTGCCCCTCCACCTGCCACAACCAGCACCACAGGCATCCTTTACTTTCCAGCCAGATTGAATTACTTGCCCTTCGAAAACACGCTCCACCCTTACTTGCCCTAGGGTCTTTGTACATCCTATTTCTCTTGCCTGGGATCCTTGCCTCCCATCTCCTTCAATACCCTCTTCCCGGCTCATCTCTGTCCTTCGTAAATCAGTTTAGCCATCATCCGAGAAGTTCTCTCTGACTTCCAGGACTTATTTGAGGCCCTTCTTGGGTGTACCCCTGGCTTGCTAAACTTCTGTTTTAAGACTAATCACCTTTAGTTGATTTTATTGTGTCTTTCCCATTAGACTGTAAACACTCTGAGAGTGGACCTGCATTTAGACTCCTGTACTCCAGCACTTACCAGAGTGCCCAGCACAGAAGGGGTACTCAGGGAGTGCTTATAGAACAGATACATGAAAAGAACTATAGAGCAAGTCAGGAAACACACTTGATGAATAACAACCACATACCTGTGAAGCAGGTGATGGGCCTTGGAAAAGACAACCCCTAGAGGAAAGAAGACAAGAGTAAGAATTTCTGTAAATAAACTTTCCGTGAGATTTTCCAAAAGATCTGAGCACATGGAGCCGACTGCAATCCAAGACCACTAGACCACCCTGGAAAAGCACTGCCTTCTTCTCAGAATTGCATGGGAACCCCCGTCTGCTCACATTATGCTCTGAGGCCACACAGTCTGAAAATGGAGTGTCACATTTTTTGGTCTGAGCTGTGTGCTGGCCTGCTCCAAAGCTGAAGGGAACAGCATTCTCTAGGCACAAAGAATGCACTCAGACCCACTGACTAGGAATGTATTTTTAAACCAAAAAGTTTGGGAAGAGTTAAGCAGCCTGCAAGGTTTCAGAGATCTGTAGCAAATGGGATTCAGCACAGAGACCTCCCAGGATGAAGGATTTGTACCAGACAGGAATCAAAGTTGTCCCAGATCTGGTAAAGATTTCAGAGGGCTTATGTAATTGTCAAAGATCTATTTGCAGCGGGTCCCCAAGGTGGGTGCTAAGATGCAATGTCTGTTCTCATGCAAGACCTGCAAGTGCAGGCTTCTTTGCCCCAGCTGATGGGCAAATTTTCACAAATAATAGGCTTAGTGGACAATACCACTGAATCATTGTGATACTGTTGAATAGAAAGACTTCAGACTAATGTCTGGCTGTGACATGGACATGTTATTAATGACTGTCTCCTGCTAGCTCTATTTTTTTTGTCTCTGAAATGTAGACCCACTGAAACTGTATTCCCAGGGGACCATACATCAGGACAATGGATCTAACAGCTGATTGATCTAGCACAGTAGTTGAGTGGGTGGTTTGGAGAGTCTGGATTCCTGGATTGAATCCTGGCTTCACTACTTGTTGTGTGACATCTTTTCTTAAACTCCAAGTCTCAGTCCCCATACCTATAAAATGGAAATAATGAGAGGACATACAAAAGTATGCACTCAGTAAAGTGAAGATTCAACATAAAACCCTTGCAAGTTCTTGTCACACAAACAAATCAATAAATGTTAAGCATCATTAGTGAAATGGGACTATCCTTGACAGTCTAGGATACGTGGTAAACTTTGTCCTTAAGGACAGAATCTTTGTTTCAGTGGTTCCCCTTACGATATTCCAAAACAACCTTGCAGCTTCAACTCGAAGATAGTCACTGATTTGGCTTTGTCCTCCATTTCAGTCAACACATATTTACTGAGATCATGTGTCCAGCCAATGCTGGGCCCTGAGGCTCTGAGGCTGCAAAGATGAAGAAGAAATAGTCCCAGCCCCTTCTGAACTCACAGATGGCTGGGAGAGTTCGATCCAAAAAGACATCATCACCGAATTAGCTCTATTTTATTATAGTGTGATAAGTCAAGTGAGAGAGGGAGACCGAGAGGACTGTGGACACACACAGAAGAGGCCTGAGGTATGTGAAAGGCTTTCTAAAGGACAGGAGGTGCAAGGGGGTCCTCCAAATAATGGGAGGCAGAATTTGGCAGCTGGAGAAGTCAGGGTAAGCAAGTTCAACATGGGAAACAGCCAGGACAAGGGCCCAAAGATGCCATGCCATCTGGGAACAATTGGAATGACCTGGGGATGTGAGAGTAATTCACTTAAGCTAGAGGCTGGAGTGCGAAGGCAGTGATGAGTTTGGGGCTTGGTAGGTAGAGGCCTGTTAGGGAGAACCCATGAGCTGAATGCAGATTTCTCAACCTTAGCACTATTGACACTCTGGACAGGGTGACTGCTATGAGAGGCTATACTGTGCATTGTAGAATGTTTAGCCATGGCCTCTATTCACTGGATGCCGGTAGCAAGTCCCTCTAACACACCACTGTCATGACACACCAAAATGTCTCCAGATACTATAAAATGACCAGCAGAGGTAGGGGTAAATTCACACCTTCCCCTCCCTCTGTTGAGAATCATTGGACTAAACTAAGGACTTTGAGCTTTAGGCCGGTTTAGAGTCTCTTAAGGTGAAGTGACATGGTCAGATATGCAGTTAACTCAGATTATTTTGGATTAGGAACACCACACAAAGACAGCCAATCTGGTTCAGGAGCTATTGCAACAATCTAGAGAAGAAATTATAAATGACAATGGAAATATTAACCAAGGGATGTTTTCTCTCTCTCTCTCTCTTTCTGTCCATCTACGTAATATAATGCATTATTAGTATATATACAAATATGTAATAATGTATATTATATATAGTAGTATATTATTGCACACACACTAATTGGTGCTATAAAAAAAGCGAAGGGTGACTCTAAGAGAGTGATAAGTCTTTATCTCTTCTCCCAGGATAAGTAGAAATTTTTTTTGAATTGTTTATAATTCTCCTGAATAATTATAAATACCATCATTGCACTTTAATATTGCTAACAACATTTTACAAACATTAGCTCATGGAATTCTCACCACAGCCCCATAAATTAGGTTTTATAATCCCCATATTAAAACGAAGAAAGTGAGGTTTACAGAGTTAACAGTTTACACAAACTGATGCAGCCAGTAAACTGTGGAGCATGGACTCACTTCTTGAGTTCAAATTTCATTCTCTTTCCACTGTATCCTGAAAGATGTTTCATAAACACAAGGCTTATTGTACTCTGATTCATTGCAATCAGTTCGATCTGGGGCATGTTAAAAGAACTCCATTTAGTTTTTTCAAACAATACATTTCCAAGCAAATGATCTCATAAAAATACAAAAGGAAGAGAATCCCCCAAAGTGGAAAGTTTTATATGACTTGTATGCTTGCTTTCTTTTTTCTCTCTTTGTTTCTGTGTTAATGAAGGACATGCTCTTTCTTTCCTTACTCAGTCCAGGCTCTTGTAACTATGCTCACCAGCCCTAGCTGAAGCACAAACACCACATGCTCGTTTGTCCCTAGAAACTCTTCAGGCTTCCATGAACTTGACACCTGAAGTGAATGTGCAGTTTGCCACACCAGGTGGCCACTAAGGAAGTGGCAGAGAGGATCAAATCCTTTACTTAATTTGTTTGAATGTCCCTTGTCACCAACAAATCCTTCTTGTTTATGTAGAGAAGAAGAAAAATAAGTGGGTTATTAACATTTATTTGGTTTCTTTTTGAATTAATAAATAATAATTATATCTAGGTACATGTTACAATGTGATGTTTTGATATGTATTTCCAATGTGGAATGACTAAATCGGGCTAATTAAACATATCACCTCACATACTTACCATTTTTGGCAGGGGTGAAAACATTTAAAATATTTTTGTGATTTGGAAATACGCAAGGCATTATTATTAGAGTCCCATTCTGTGCAATAGACTAAAGTTTATTCCTACTGCCTAACTGAAATGTTGTACCTTTTGATCAACATCTCCCTTTCCCCACCACCCCTGTTCCTCGCCTTTGGTAACCATCATTCTACTCTCCACTTCTATGAATTCCATATTTTTAGATCCCACATATATTTGAGATCATGTGGTATTTGTCTTTCTGTGCCTGGCTTATTTCAGTTAGCATAACGCCCTCCAGCTTCATCCATGCTGTCAAAAATGATAGGATTTCTCACCATTTTAAGGCTGAGTAGTATTCCATTGTCAATATATACCCTATTTTATTTATCAATTCATCTGATGATGGACATGTGGGTTTTTCCTATAGTTTAGCTATTGTGAATTATGCTGCAATTAACATGTGAGTGCAGGTATCCCTTCAGCATACTGATTTTAATTCCTTTGGATATACAACCAGAAGTGAGATTACTGGATTGTGTGGTAATTCCACTTTTAGTCTTCTGAAGAACCTTCATACTGTTGTCCATAATGCCTGTGGGGTTTTTTTTGTTTGTTTGTTTTGTTTTGTTTTTTGCTGGTGCAAAGTTTACAGCTGATAAATCTGTCTAAATGTTGTTAACAGGTCAAGTGCACCTGTGGGCTAAACGTGATTCAGCCAGATTTGTGAAGAATGAGTGTGTTTTCCCTAGTTGCATCCACACATCATTTGTTACACTGTCTGAAAGGCTTGACTGGTGGCTGTACCCAGACCTGTCCCCACCCTGAGTTTTAAAGCTTGCTCCATTTACAGAGTTTTCCAGCAATTCTAGGAAAAAAATTTTCTGGAAAGAGCATCAGTATTGTTCTGCACACTGGGCAGGAAAGAAATGTTACAGAATGTATTCAAACTACATAGTTGCTCTATCTTTTTAACATAAATTTGCTTGAGAATTTGATTAAAAGTCAGAGGCTAATTTGGCTACAGGAGGTTGAAAGAAACAAATATTTATTCAGAGCTTATTAAGGGCTAGGATTTGTGTTAGACACTCTGCTGCTTATCTCTTTAATTCTAGCCACTATTCTGTGAGAAATCATCCCTTTATCCTCATTTTCTAAAAAGACACTTGGAGGCTCAGAAAGTACAAACAACTCGCCCAAGACCACTCAGCAAGTAAGGAGCAGAACTGACAATATTTACTCACTCTTTAAACCATCATTTGAGAGTCTGCCATTGCCATGCACTGTTCTGGGCACTGAAGATACACCGGCGACCAGACAAAACCCTCTGTGTACAGACAGCACCTGGATGGAGAGACAGACAATAAGCATAATAAACATGTAAAATGCATGGTATGTCAATTAAATATAAGGTAACAGGTGCTGCAGTAGTCATTGATGCTGTTTACCAAATATTTCCAGGGCTTGGGTTTCCATGTGCCTGGCTCTGGCAAATGAATGGTGAGCAGTTTCACTTCTGGGCTGGAGTGTGTAATTGCTAGTTTAAGACCCTCCGACCCCCTTTCTGCCTCCTGCCATGCTGATGGGCAAGAGTCCAGGTGGTGCTCACTCCATCAGCCTGACTTACAGGTAAGCACCACAGAGTCAGCCTCTGTGGTAGGGGACCACTGGATTAGAGTGAATCTGGAAGGAGGAACAAGGCTATATGAAAGAAAAAGAGAGAGGTCCACTGGGGTAAGTAATGAACACTGAATTCTGAGCACTGCAATAAGGGTTACTGTGAGGTCCTGCCCTGGGGTTCAAGATCAGCTGAGCAAATAGCCCAGAGCCAGCAGCCAGGGGAATAGGGTTCAATGGGCTACCTTCCATTATAGGAGGGAGCATGGTACAGTGAAGGAGACGGATAAGATGTCATGTGGACACGGGATCAAATCTTCACTGTCCCATTAACCAGCTGAGGAAAAATCTTAACCTCAAAATAGTTCAATTCTGAACTTCATTTTATTTGCAAAATGTAAGTCACAAACTTTTGCTTTATGGAATTACTATATTAAGACTGAAATCAGGTGGAATCTGTGAAATGAAAGTGTGCCAGCTGTTCCTCTGTTGCCCCCACCCCAGTGCTCTTCCTTAGACACCTGGTCCTTGGAATTATGAATTCTGTGTTGTCTGCATCTGGCTTCAAGCATGACTTTTCCCAGCTAAATTAGATCGCCTTTTCTTTTAAAAGGTAGGTTCTTTTTTTTTTTTTTTCCCAATTCGATTTCTTTGTTTTGTTTTGTTTGGGTGTTTTTTGCTTTTCGTTTGTCTTCAAAGAATGGTTTCTGCACCCACTGTTTAACATTTCGAAGACAGGACACTCTTCTCAAGATAGTTTTGTGTTGTGTAACAAACGCATTGCTTCTCACTTCCCATGAGAGCTGCTCTATCTTATTCTCCTCTCCTTTGCTCTCTTTCTTTCCAACAAAGAGTGAAGAAGAAGGTTTCCTAATGGCCCCTGTCTCCTGAATCACCCTCCCTTCTCTTGCAACCCCGCCTGTTGATGGAAATATATAATTGGGTTAAGCAGGTTTATGTCTTCTCATCCTGTTTCCTGTGTAATTTATGGCCTTCATCACACATCTGTTAAAAAAAAAAGAAAAGAAAAAAAAAAGGAGAAGAAGGAAGTGTCCTCCTTGTTCACAGAGAAAAATCAATTATCCTCCCCTCTAAAATGAATTCATATGTATTTATTTGGTGGGAAATTTTCAAAGAAACTAACAGGATCTCTCTAAAATATTCAGGCCATCCTTACAACTCACCCCCAACTCCTGTGTCTGCTTTGATGTTTGATTAATCAAAAGTATGTTAGTTACACACTGGGCACTATATCAAATATGAGCAAGACATGATCTGATCCTTTCCCACAAGGAGCACTGAGTCTAGAAGAGGAACTAGATGTGCACATTGCAGTACAGTGTGACTCACAGTGCTGAGAGCAATGGTCAGGGTGGCCCAGGGAATGCAATAGATTTGAGGCTCTGGTATAGCTAGTGCCGAAGGGTAGGGGCAGGAGGGGGTCCTGTGAAGACAGAGAGGTGGGATATAAGGTTTGAGTGGCTAGCCAGCCATTTCATACAGAGCTCCAGTTCAACAGGGGGAAAAAAGTGTAGAGTTTATTTGTTTTCCCCAGGAGAGAAGAGGATTAGAGCAGGGATCTCCAACCCCTGGGCCAGGAATCGGTACTGGTCTGTGGCCTGTTAGGAACCAGGCCACACAGCAGGAGGTGAGTAGTGGGTGAGCTTTACTTTTCATCTGTACTTTACAGCCACTCCCCATCACTCACATTACGACCTGAGCTCTGTCTACTGTCAGATCAGCAAGGGCATTAGATTCTCATAGGAGTGCAAACCCTACTGTGAACTGTGCATGCAAGGGATCCAGATTGCACACTCCTTATGATAATCTAATGCCTGATGATCTGTCACTGTCTCCCATCACTCCCAGATGGGACCGTCTAGTTGCAGGAAAACAAGCTCAGGGCGCCCACTGATTCTACATTATAGTGAATTGTATAATTATTTCATTATATATTACAATGTCATAATAATAGAAATAAAGTGCACAATAAATGTAATGGGCTTGAATCATCCCGAAACCATCCTCCCACCCCACCACCTCATCCGTGGAAAATTTGTTTTCCACGAAACCAGTTCTTAGTGCCAAGATAGTTGGGGACCACTGGATTAGAGGATTTTGGCTTTGGAGATTGACTCCAGAGTGAATCTGGATTAGTTCTAATTCAGAAATGGAAAATAGAAGCAGAAAAAGAATGGAATTAGACACTGTGCTGGGAAATAAAACCAGTTATCTCATTTGATTCTCACAATACCCCAGCAAGGACCTGCTTCACCAGAAGCTATTATTCCACTCAGTTTATACTTGAGAGGACTATGGTTCAGAAAGGCTAAATGGGAAAATGGGTATCACTGCTCTACTTCCCACCAGGGTTGACCACTGGGGATCAGCAGTGTGCGTGGGGTTAGAGCATCCCTGCATGCATCACTCTAGGCTGAGAAGGGCTTATGTGCAGTGGCCCAGGGCCAGGTGCCCTGTATCTGTCTGATGGACTGAGAGCCATGGCAAAGCTCTTCCCAGTGATGGTTGGAAAACCAAAATGATATGTCCTTACTATGTGGGTTTTTTTCCCCACACATTTGTCCACTCCATGGGCTTTTATAATTATGGTGCCCTGAACCTGACAAAAGCTAGATGTTATGGTAGATAAGCCAATGGTAGCTGGAGGAAAGATGCACTCCCAGTAAAATGTACAATTACCAGGGATGGCACAACCCCAACCAAGGGTCCTAAAGCACCTGAAACACTTTTGCTTTCTCCCATTTTTGGGGATTTCAACATTGATATACAAGTGGAGTTTAGACCCTAGAACATCACAATTGGATGAACAGGGCTTGCATAAAAGACACGTGGTCTTCATGAATCTTTGCCTTGAAATCTAGAGAAGCACGTCATAGGGGGACCAGGGCCATCTTCACCAACTACTCAAATGGTGTTTCCCATATTACTATCTGAGTAAGAAGACAGATGCTGGTATTGGGGCTCCAAACAACTCCCACTGGCAGGCCATTTCTCCAACAGCCTTCCTCCCTGGGGTGGACTATGTTGAGTGCATGGATAAGGACATGAAGCCTACTAATGACCTGAGAAAGGAGACTCCCTCACCCTCGCTTCTATAGAGTCCATCAGAAGGAGTTTGCCAAAGACCTTGGTCTTTGTCTCAAGCCCACATTCTCAAAACGGAATGTGATTTTATTTTTTGGTCACTTGCAGACTCACCAAGGCCTGTCACCAGGTAAGAATGGTTGAGAAAAATAAATAACAATGTGGATGTTGGGCAAAAGCAAAGCCACTTGAACAAGAACCTGGTTCTCCAGAAACCAGTTGATACGATTTGGCTGTGTCCCCACCCAAATCTCACCTTGAATTGTAGTTCCCATAATCCCCATGTGTGTGCGAGGGACTGGTGGGAGGTAATTGAATCATAGGGGCAGTTACCTCCATCCTATTCTCATTATAGTGAGTGACTTCTCACAAGATCTGACAGTTTTATAAGGGGCTTTCCCCCTCTTTGCTCTGCACTTCTCCTTGCTGCCACCATGTGAGGAAGGATATGTTTGCTTCTCCTTCCACCACGATTGTTAAGTTTCCTGAGGCCTTCCCAGCCCTGTGGAATTGTGAGTCAATTAAACCTCCTTCCTTTATAAATTACCCAGTCTCAGCTATGTCCTTATTAGCAGCGTGGGAATGGACTAATACACCAGTCAAAGCCATTTTCCTGGATTGTATGTGGGATAAAGAGCTGCCAGGCTGACCTGAAGAAGCTCAGAGATGTAGCCAAAGAATCACTATTTAATATGTTTAAAGGGCTAGGCTTCCAAGAAGGACTGAAGTAGTGCAGGGAAAGGTGTGAAGGATCTTAGTAGGAGGGCTATCCATCCTCCTTACAGGGCAGCCTCATTGGGTCCAGTTTTCTTAGATTAAATGTAACTCCTCTTCTTTTTTCTGTTTCCTTGAAAACTGTTGCACAAATATAGCAATTCTCAGCCCCTACCATGCTTGGACAAAACTGATTCTTTGGCTCAAGCATTGAAAGTGGAAATTCCTAGGGTTGCCTGGCACCATTCGTCTCCCCTTATCACCCTAGCAACCCTTGAAGATGGATGGACTAGATAATACCAATGACCTCTCATCTGACAAATGAGTGTTCTGACAGAGGGTGGCTTTTCCAGAACTAGAAGGGAGGCTGCCTGACACATCCAGGCAACTTTCTCTGTCAGTGTGCTGTGGGGTTGGACAGAGTGGCCCTCGTTCTCACTGCTGCACATTCATATGTTGTCATTTTAAGCCCTATTGCCCTCTCCTTTCAAAGTGCCATAGGGCAGTTGTTTAATAACACTGAGGAACTCCGTAGAATTTAGATTTTACTGATAAGATGGAAGGTCTTCTTTGTCTGCATGCACAATGGGAAGATTCAAATCAAGACCACCTTCCTGACTGTTTTTTTGTCTGTGTCAAGGAAATGTTGGGTTCCTAAAAAGAGCAAAGCAGTTGTTCAAACTCCTTTGAAGGAAATTGTTGTTTTCGTTGTTATGCTCCTTCTTATTGATTGGCTCTCTGGTGGTAGTGATCTCTGGCTCCCTCTTGATCTCTCAGTTCCTGATGGAAACTTTGCTCTCAGTTCCTAATGGAAACTTGAGTTTTTCTTTTTCTTCTCCAAGAACTTATAGTGACATGAAATGCATCATCTTTTTGCCCCTGCTTTGACCCACCAGCCATCCTGTCCC